AAGAAGAAGAAGAAGAAGAAGAAGAAGAAGAAGAAGAAGAAGAAGAAAGACGAGAAAAATTAATCTCAGAGGAATCGGTGCAAAACTCACTTTGGACAGATTTCTCACTCTGCAACTGGGCTCAATTGTGGCCGTAAGGCGAGGACAGCCGGGATTCCTAGAAGCAGGAAGCGTACCTGCTCTAGCGCCCTCTTCGTCGCCTTTCTGGATCAGCAGGTAACGGGGACTCTCGGGGCAAAAGGGCAGGAGGATAAGTTGTAACATGGCAGGGACTCCCGTCAGACCTATGAGGAGCGGCCACCCTGCAGGGAAAGGTGGAAAAATGTCACAACACCCAGCAACGCCTACACCAATCCCTGTCCCTGCACAACACCCCACAATGCCTACACCAATCCCTGTCCTTGCACAACACGCCACAATGCCTATACCAATTCTCGTCCCTGCACAACGCCCCGCAATGCCTATACCAATTCTCGTCCCTGCACAACGCCCCGCAATGCCTACACCAATCCCTGTCCCTGCACAACAATGCACAACAGCTACACCGTTCCCCGTCCCTGCCCAAACACAACACAACAATGTGCTACACCAATCCCCGTCCTTCCACAACTCCCCGCAACAACGTCTACGCCAACCCCGTCTCTCTGGTTTACCTTCGGCGCTTCCGAGGATCATTCTCATCCCGAGAATCTGAGCCGCCAGGATTCCCACTGTGATGAACAGCTGCGGCATCACCCCGATGGCTCCTCGGAGGTTTTTGGGGGACATCTCTCCAAGGTACATGGGGACAACGTTGGAAGAAAGGCCTAACGTGGAAAACAAGAACAGATTCAGGATAGTATTGGGGTAAACAACCCTCACTGCCCCACTAAAGGATGGTTTTCTTGACAACAACATTGTGTGTTTCACTGGTCAAGGATGATTCCTTGATTTCTCTACCCTTTGGCTGAAAATATATAAATATATATCTTCATCTTCTATATCTTCATCTTCCTCTTCTATATCCCCAACCTCTAACTCATTGTATCTCAACTTTGAAGACTGGTGGACTTCAACTCCCAGAATTCCCCGCTCCCCGCCTCTTTTTAACACGAAGATGGAAAATGGCCTTTAAGATGGACGAGGTTGCCCTTCGTCTTAGTGCCAAGGTCTCACCTGCGCAGATGCCAATAATGATGCGGCAAATGATGATCACTTCGAAGGTCTTGGCTACCTTGGAGATCCCCATGAGGATGGCGGGGATGATGGAGAAGATGTTGTTGAGGAGGAGGGTGCCCTTTCTGGAAAGGAGGAGAACATCTCAAGAGCTTCAGAAGAAGCTTCAGAAGAAGCTTCAACCTGGAGCTCTAAAGGATGAAGGTCTGTCCCTCAACCTTCTTCCTCTTTAAACAAGACCCTTCCGTGGCCCACAGAAGACCATCCCAGGAGGTCCTCTTTGCTTGGATGTCCAACCACACCCAGGAAAAAAGACAAGCCAGATGTTTCTCCTGGCACTGGGAATGTCTTCCATCTCCCAGGCCAGCAGGAACCTCACACCCAGCCCAGGATGTGAATTGTGTAAACAAAGAAGGAAACCTACCTGCCACAGTTGTTCACCATGGGCCCCACCATCAGCGATCCAAAGAAACCCCCAAGTGGGAAGAAGGACACACTCAGAGACCAGAGGGCAGTCATCAAGCTCTCGTCCATATATTTATTGTACCGTCCCTGGTACGTTTCATTGTAAAATTGTTGCATGAACTGGAAAAAGAATGGATGGAAGAAAGGACCAATTAGAGGAGGATCAAGAAGTATCCCAATTTGTGATAGCGGGGCCCCCCAATGAGTTAGATACCTATTATCCTCAACCAGCAAAATTTTGAGGGTTACAGTACAAAGTACCTTAGTAGGCCCAAATGGTTTTATAAGCAATATTAAGTGTTTATCATTTCGGCTTAAACAAGTTCCCACTCACAGGTACTTCTTTCTGTTTTATATAAAGCACCACAGAGCAAATAAAGAGCACCGTCACCATGTACTTTACTGCTCAACTGTATGACTGTAACAGGAAACTCTACTAAAGAAACCATAGATTATAACCACAAATGCACACTAAACGCTGCCATCTGCTGGTTGAGTAGTCACTGCAGTACAAAATACATTCTAACACATATTATAAACACTTTCTAAATTTGTGTTTCTCAATTTCGACCACTTTTAAGAGATGCGGGCTCACATCTTCAAAAGAGGCCAAGGGGTTGAAAAACACCGCTCCCTTTTTCTTAAGCCAAACTGAAAAAATATAAACGCTATCGGCCATTTGGGCATCTCTACCTTCTTTGAAATTTATACACCGCCAATAAATGCCTCCCTCCCCCCAAATGGATTATATAACCCCCAATGTACCGGTGCTGGAGAATTGATCACAGAGACATTATATCCATACTGGAAGGATGATCCGAAGGCTGCGATGAGGGTCACTAGAGCAAGCATCACAGTCATTTTCTGCAAAAACAAAAACCAAGCGATGCAGAGACGGTATTCCTGAACCGACGCAGATAAGCTAAGATGACTGAATTACTTTTCAAAAAAAAATCCTTCTTAACTGACCCTGCTAGCTAGCTAGCTGACTAGGTTGAATACCTGTGTTTTCCCATCTGCAAAAATGGGAAAGTAACTTACAAGAATTAACTTTAAGAGCATCCTCTTAACCAGCTAAACTGTGCAAATATTTGGAGCATTTAGCACATGCAGAGGAGTGGGGTGGGATCTCAAATCTGCTTGAACCCTGATTTGTTTTTCCTTGTTTTGCTTCCTCTTTTTCCCCTCCAGCCTTATCTTCTTGAGATAAGGACAGGTTGATACAGTTGCTGATTAAGGAGGAAAGAAATGGGTATATTTTTGTCCTGAATTAGGTGGAGGAAGGCAGAGGGGAATAAATAACCATGAAAAAGACTTTGCATATCAGTGATAAATATGCCCTGGCATATTTGCAAACTGTGTGGGTGTTCACTGCTCCCACGGAAAACTCTCTGTCCCGAGGACTGAATTGGCAGTGTGCCTGCAGCTCAAAAAATCCACATTTGTTAATTGTCTCACCCGAAAAAATGTTTGTTATTACAGTGTCTATTTGATCATCTTTCCTAAAACAAAGATGGTGGAAGTGACTTTAAATTAAAAAAAACAGGTACTTTTATTTGCCATACATGCACCAAATAATGGACAAGAAGAATTCTACCAAAAACTCCACAAGATCTTTGAAATAGAATATGAAATATGAATTATATATAAATTTTCTATTTTATCCAGCAAAAATGGGGAAAATCGCTTTTTTTACCATGCTAAACTTTGATAAGGATTAGAGATTTATATCTCTATTTATTATTTCTCTCTCTCTCTCATATATATATATATATATAAAAGCACAACTACAATGACATGGGAAAATACCCGAACGAAGCTGAATGCCATACACGTAAGTACCCGCGAAAACTTAAGAATATATATATATATATATATATATATATATATATATATACATACATACATACATACATACATACATACATACATACACACAGGATACATATACACACATCTTTCCTATAAAGAAAAGATGGTGGAAGTGACTTTAAATTAAAAAACAGGTACTTTTATTTGCCATACATGCACCAAATAATGGACAAGAAGAATTCTACAAAAAACTCCACAAGAAGATATTTGAAATAGAATATGAAAATATTTTGTCTTATGGGAGATTTCAATGCAAAGGTTGGTATAAAACTAGACTACAAAAGCAGTAAAATGAATTTTAAAAAACAAGGACTTTACCCAGAACTTTTTTTTAAAAAGGCAGAAGACCTACCCCATGTCCACTTCTGTCTCCCAACCTCAAAACAAAAACACATACTCACCCCCTTCTCGGGGGGTCCCTGTGGCGCGGGCTGTGGCATTTTCACACTTTCCAGCTTTCTGTGGACCTAAAAGAGAGGAATGGAGAAAGGAAGGAAAATAACAATACACTCCAAGGACAAGGTTATAAATGCCTGCAATTAAATGCCCCTGAACAAGGATAAGTTGGTGACGCATAGCAATTTATTTTACAACTTTGCTCCTGGATAAAATGGATACTTTGACAACTTCTTACAAAACTTTTTCCCCCCCTCCTTCTAGTTCAAAGCACAAGCTGGTTGTAGGGATGGAAGAGGAAGAAATGGGTTCAAATCATGCTTTTGGCGGGGGGAGGGGAGAAAAAAGGGGAAAAAATCATTTGTTTCATTTCCCCAAATCTCTTTGCCTTACTTCAAAAATTCTTTTAAGAGGTTTGGACTTCAACTCCCAGAATTCCCCAGCCCTCTAGGAAATTCTGGGAACTGAACATCCTAAAATGCCCAAGGCTGAGAAACACTGCCCTAGCTATATACAAATGCTTTGTTGGAATAGTAGGGAGCATCATGAGAAAAAATGGATTGTAAATCACATATTTCCTCTCTCTCTCTCCTCCTTTTCCAACCCAGGAGACGTTTTTAAAAATAGGTTTTAAAAGTTAGGCAGAAATTTTAACAAGCAGAATAAGGGAGAAAAAAATAATAATAAGGATAATTGTTTTATTTAATGCCATCCAGATTAGAAACAGCAAATTCCAGGTTTTGGAGACCAGAATACCTCACTACCCTAATAAGAATTAGGAGGCTGAGTTTGGGGAAAATATTTTTTTAATTAAAAGTTGCTATTTCTAAAAAAAATACGTGAACATTTTGAAGGTTGATTATGTCCATCAATTGTTTGTGCTGCATCAATCCTATTAAAAAAAACCAACAGTGGCTGATAGGAGTTGTAGTCCTCAAGGCTTCTATCACAGTAAACCACTTCCAATTTCTTAAGTGTGCTTTCCAACACATCAAGAACAGGGAAAAATATACACACACACACTCGCACCCAGCTAAAATCCTAAAGCATCACACACAAAAGGAGATTCTCTTTTCAATCTAGCTAAGAATCAAACTGAAGTTAGGAAAATAAGTTGGCAAGAAAAGCCGCTCTCCTCACAAAGCCAGGGCACCAAGGCCATTCATTTCCCCTGTAGTGGGATTTTCACAACAAAAGGATGAGCCAAGCCTCCAGGGAAAAGGAGCTAGCCAGGAGCCAATTCCAGCTTTTTTAAAGAAAAATATTTTTTAAAAGGATTTTCTCAAAGGATGAAGCAAAAATACAAAACATGAAAACAGCCAACTGCTTTCAATTTGAGAAATCTTCCCTGAGGGTTTTATTAATTCTAAATAACTCCAAAAAAGTTTATTTTTCTTCCTGGATTTTTCCCAAGCTTTCTCCTTTCCACTTCAATTCTCCCCAGCGTTTTTCCCCTCCCTCAATTCGTTCCCCTCCCTCGCTGGCTGGGGATGATGGGGACCAACTCCGATCAAAAACCCAACAACATCACCAAAACCCAACAACATCACCGTTTTATGAGCGCATCCTTGCAAAGTTTATTATCCCAACTTCCTCCAAACAAATAAATAAAATGATTTTGCCCAGAGAATTCTTTCCTCTGGAGTCTTACCCGAGACGATTCCCAAAACAAACCTGCTTTTATTTTGTATCTCTTTCGTTTTATTTGCCTTACCTTCCAAAAGCTACAAAAGCAATTCCTCTCTTCAGCCAGCAATTTCCTTCTTGCAGAAAAAAGGTCTAGACGCCCTCAAAGCCTTAACTGCTGTGATTCAGCAAGCCAGAGACCACCCAGCAGCCTATATATACCCCTGTCTTGTTCTGATCCCACCCCCTTCCTCCCCAGAAAATTCCTTTTTTTTTCTTCTAAGGGTATCTGAGAGGGAACCATTGCTTACGTGACCCCTAACAGATAAGCCCTCGAGGCATCCCCTGCACAGCCAACTCCTTTCCTGGCTGTGCTGACCTCCATAACCCTTGAGTAAAAATCACTGCTACACGTAGACACAGAGAACATAAAGCCACCCCTCAATTTTATCTTTTTCTGGTGGGGAAGAAATTCTTCATTCTCCTTGAGGTGCACAATGCTTTCCCTGCTTTGCTGCTACTACTACTCTTTGTAGAGTTGTAGATTTAAGATTTTTTTTCTAAGCCCCCAGAAGAGGGGAGGCGGGAGAGTTATCTATCTCTGTTTGCAAAGGAATTTGATGCTTCCTAAGGGTATATGTAAAACAAACTTCCTGTTTGTTTGGAAAAGATGTAGTAGAGCAACCTTCCATGTGGCTGCATGCAGGAAAAATAAAATAGGTGCTACAAAACAATTAAATATTTATTTATATATTTATACATATTATAAAAACTTCAACACTTTATTGGGTTTTTCCGTTTATACGTAATACCATTACTAATTGAACAACACTGTGAAAATATATATATACATTTATACAGCCTATCCAATCTTTCAATACACACTACTTCCGTACCCTCATAACAATTTAAAGACATTATTTACATTTTCTATTCTTATATCTATTGTCAATCCAGATATACCATGTTTCCCATATTGTATTGCATTCTGCCTCAGCTTTCCATTTTAGTTCCATAGTTAATTTATCCATTTCCACCCACTCGAAGATTTATATACTTATATATAAATTAACTGTTGTATTTTATCCAGCAAAAATGGGCGAAATCGCTTTTTTTTTTAACCATGCTAAGCTTTGATAAGGATTAGAGATTTATATCTCTATTTATTCTTTCTCTCTCCCTCCTTCCCTCCCTCCCTCCCTCCCCCCCTCTCCATATATATACACATACACACACACACACACACACACTTCTCCAATCCTTATTGCAGTTTAGCAATCAAAATATGCAGTGATTTTGCCCATTTTTACTGGAAGTCAAGAGGTAACATATACATTTAATAAATTATTACTAAAGGATGCTTACACTTATTTTTTTTTTCAGTCAAATCAATGCAGGTCAAATATCTGGGGAGGCCAGCTTTGGAGAATGAGATATAAACTTTTTTTTAAAGTGCATATAGTTGTAATTTCTATTTTCTTTTTTTTTTTATTCCCTATCTGGTTTAGCTGAAAAACCAGGAGCAGGGATAACTGGAGGCCAAATTTTATTTATATCCAGTTTTTCCCTCTTCTCTATAAGACTTCATTATTTCATCATATACTCTAGGCATGGCTTAAAGTTTGTAAATACGTTTATCACTGATATGCAAAGTCCTTTTCATGGTTATTTCTTCTCCTCTGCGTTCCTCCGCCTAATTCAGGACAAAAATATACACATTTCTTTCCTCCTTAATCACTAAACTAAATCAACCTGCCCTTATCTTAAGAAGAAGCTAATCCCTGGAGGGGAAAAGAGGAACCAAAATGAGTGGGGGGAAATCCATAAATGGTAACCTTTGCAAAAATGGGAATTGCCTTTTCCTATTGTTCTGAAAGCTTGGCATCTTTAAAACGTGAAATTCCCCCAACCCAAATACTTTTAAGATATGCGGACTTCAATTCCAAGAATTCCTCAGCCAGCTATGCATAGACACATACACACACAATACACACACCTGGCTAGGGAACTCTGGGAACTGAAGTCCACATATTTTAAAAATGGACAAGGTTGAGAAATAATTAAATGCACGCCTGGAATTGACTTCTGTGCTGGGTTTAACAAGTCTTCCTCCTTCACTCACCTATTACAAGAAGTGGGAATTTTGTAGCAACGCTGTTTTTCCCAGCCACAGGAAAAATTTCAAGCGATTAATGCTCTCCTTCATGGTTTCTCCATCAGCCAAGTTTCTCACCGCTTGGAGAAACTAAACACTCCAATTTGGGCTTCGCTGCACCTGGAAATATAAGAAAAATATAGCAGCGTAGCCATTATATTGCATTTCCTTCCCAGTATATGCACCAAGACAAATTCCTTGTGTGTCCAATCACACTTGGCCAATAAAGAATTCCATTCTATTTCTATTATATTCTATGTACACTGAAAGAAAGCAGCGTCAAGAAGGCTTGATATATACAAACTGTAATATAAAGTACGTTTTGTAATTCAAAGGGGTGGCTTTTGATTTTGAAACTGCCGGTTAATGTTCAAAGGGGCCACCGGCGCTTTTCAAACCGTCTAATAGTTCTTTTTAATAAATTCTCTTTGTTTTCAACAATCCAAGTTTTTTCTGTTGGCTTTGAGTTATTTCCAGCAACCTCTAGCCTTCCTTTTAAACTAGCTATATCCAATTTCTTCAACTGTATATTTTGGCCTCCAGCCCCCTAATCATCCTGGTTGCTCTTCTCTGCATTTTTTCCAGAGTTTCTTCCTCTTTTTTTTAATAATGTGGTGACCAAAACTGGATGCGGCATTCCAAGTGCGGCCTTATCTAAGGCTTTATAAAAGGCGCATGGAACGCTGTTCCCTTCCCACCAAAGGGGTCCCTATTTTTCTACTTGCATTTTTTTAATGTGCTTTCGAACTGCTAGGTTGGCAGAAGCTGGGACAAGGAACGGGAGCTCACTCCATTACACGGCGCTAGGGATTCGAACCGCGAAACTGCCGACCTATTGGAGGTGGTGACCCTTTGAAAGCTGCGTGCCACGAAATTTCATTTTAATGTATGCCGATTAGTGTTAAATTATCCTGAGTTCCTGTTTTCCAAATAAGCACTGTTCTCTTAACCTGTGTGGATTGTATTATATATTTACCTGTTTATTTTTTTCTGCTGAGGCCAACTGATCTTTGGCACAGCTTTCCAAGTCAGCAAATGTTCAGTTAATAAGAACAATTTAACTGACTGATAACCCAAATGCTATCAGATGACCAAGTTGGTTTTTTTTTTTACTTTCAGCTGCTGCATTCTAAGATCACTGCAAAGAAGGAACTGCTTCAGTTCTCACAGGAAGCAAAGTCTGATATTAATCCTAATTGTAATATTATCAAACAGAGCAAACTCTATCATTAATCAATAAATCTGTGTTTGTCCTCAGGTAAATTGGACTCCAAGTGAAGGATTTAAACTCGTGTTATCCCTGCTCTGAAAATTCATGGTGTTTTTTTCTTTGCGTAATAAAAATAAGCAAGCCCTCAAAATAGCATCTGTATTTTCTTCATGTCTGGTATAAAATCGTATTGCTTGCATGGATTTTCCAATCTCTTCCCAGATGTACATAAAAACCCCAACAGGCCTAAAGCTAATAAAGAATTCAGACCTCTTCATTTCCTGCTGTTCTTCTCGATTTGACAAATAAATTGTTTGATTTTTGAGCCATCCTCTTACATAAAAAGGCTATGAAATGGTGCCAAACGACTGGACAGCAATGCGTGCTTTCAAAAATAAAGGAATTTTGGCAGAATAAGTCAAAAACTGCGGGGAGGGGTGTGTGCCAAAGCAGTAAAGCTGGATATGTTATCCTACCCAGAATTCTGCACTCGGGAGCTATTTTAAATTTCAAAGCCCTGCCAAGTTTCTAGTCCTCAGAACAGGGAAAAGGAGAGAAAGAGTTGATTAAGGTACAAGCAGCCAAAGATTTATTGGCGCTATTAATCATCGCAGCCAGCCGGGCACTAATGCCTGTGGAAACAGGCTTTGGGTAGAAGGCAAAGGCCGCAAGCACCTGAGTGTGTAATACACACACGATTGTGTAAACACGGAGTTTTCTCTCCCAACAGCCAGGACTGAAACTTTTTTCGTTCCCAGCCTGGGCTCCATTATGGTGGACCTGTGTATCTCGATGACCAAGATTGCTTCTGATGTTGCACTTCAGTTCTTCAGCCCTACCCGTGGCTTTGTTTCTCCGGGGCACGGAGTGAATTGGGCACCATGGTGGCTGCACTAGAAAATAGCACTCAGGTTGAACCCTTCCTGCCTTCCCACCTGTGAAGTATTCCCAAAATCCTTGCATATCTCTTTCTCCACCCAAACATTCCTCCTGTCTCTCTTGCATTCTTCTGCCTTATCTCTTATCTTAATCCTTTGAAACACCCCAGCTTCTCTGACAACTGAAAAAGGGACTTTGGAGAGACAAGGAGAGAGATAGAGTGAGAAAAAGAGAAACATTCTTTCTTCCCTCCCTTCTTTCCTTTCCTTTCATCCCTTTCCCCGTTCATTCTCCTCCTCCTCTTCTTTTAGCCCCATTCTTCCGCTTGCTACTTACGTTGGTGTAAATCACCAAACACCAGCTCTTCCGTGAAAGCTCAAACTGCCCAAGGAGCTGCCGATCCAGTTCTACAGAGGAATGATGGAGTCTGTCACCTGCACCTCTATAACTGTCTGGTTTGGTTCTGCAACCCAACAGGACAGACTCAGACTCCAGAGAGGAATTAGGACTGCAGAAAATAGCAATTGCTACCAACCTGCCTTCCACGGAGGATCTGTACCTGCACAAGTCAAAAAAAGGGCTGTGAAAATATATCCAGACCCCTCACATCCTGGACATAAACTGTTTCAACTCCTTCCCTCAGAACGATGCTGTAGAGCCCTGCAGAACAACTAGACACAAGGACTCCATCACTCTGTGAAACAAATAATTCCCTCAACACTGTCCAACTATTTACTAAGTCTACACTACTATTACTATTCATCTTCTCATCGTTCCTATCACCCATCCCCTCCCACTTGTGACTGTATGACTGTAACTTTGACGCTTTTATCCTTACGATTTATATTGACTGTTTCCTAGTATGATTGGATTGCTTCTTGTACCCCAGGACTATCATTAAGTGCTGTACCTGATGATTCTCGACTCTTGACGAATGTGTCTTTTCTTTTATGGACACTGAGAGCATTTGCACCAAGACAAATTCCTTGTGTTGCAATTGCACTTGGCCAATAAAAGAATTCTATTCCATTCCATTCCATTCCATTCCATTCCATTCCATTCCATTCTATTCTATTCTATTCTATTCTATTCTATTCTTTTAATGGAATATGGGTAGTCCTTGACTTATGACCACAATTGGGCCTCCCAATTTCCCCCCCCCCCATTTTTTACTTCATTTTATGACAAGTCCATGTTTTGATTCAACAGCGGGTCAACCGGGTACATATATCTTTGTGCAAATATTTGTAATTCATATAGATTTCTTGCTATAGTATCAATGGATACGTTCATATGAAAAACCACTCAACTTTCTCTGTCTTATCCCTGTAACAATCTTAATGCCTTTCGCCTTATATTCATTGAACTTTCTCTCTTTACCTTCCCACCATTTATAAATTAAATCCCACCTCATACAGTATTGAGTTTCTTCTTTTTCTTTAATTGCCAATGTTAGCCTATTCATTTCGGCAGATATTTTAACATTTTCTTAATCGCCTCGTCCTCTTATTGGGTTTTTTTTCACTTCTCCAATTTTGAGCAAATACAATTCTAACTGCCGTTAATGTATGCCTTCCAATTTTCCATTTGCTAACCAGGGCAATTGTTAACCTGGATTTTGCCCCAATTTTCCACTTTTTGGGGGGGGGAGGCACCGTTGCTAAGCGACTCGACTGCCGTTGTTAAGTGAAGCATGCCATCGTTGGCTTCCCCCCATGACTTGGCTTGTTGGAAACTGGCACACATGGTGATCCCTTGACCCCAGGGACAGGGGTCGGACTAGATGACCTACAAGGTCCCTTCCAACTCTTGTTATTCTAAGTCAAGGGTCTTCAAACTTGACTGCTTTAAGACTCGTGGGCTTCAACTCCCAGAATTCCTCCTGCAGTCATGTTAGAGCTCAGGAATTCTGGGACTTGAAGTCCACAAGCCTTAAACTTGCCAAGTTTGAAGGCCCTTGTTTTAAGTCAAACCACCTTCAGGCACCTAGATTGCAATCTGCTTGGGGCAGAGATCTCTGGCTTAACTCCAGAGGGTGGCCGATGGGATCCATCAATCATTAAACCTTGCTCTTCTCTTATCCAGACAAAAAACAGGTGTTTTGCCTTTTTTCGTCCCCAGGAAATGAGAGGTAGATTTTATAAATACATCCTCTTTGATCTTCCACTTCCCCCCATTTAATGCTGTCCAAAACTCTGGTGGGGAAGGGTCACGCAATTCTCCTTTTGCGACAAGTCAAGGGGGAAGATTCACTTAACAACCATGTTACTAATTAAATAATTGAACAATTGCAGCCGTTCACTGAACAAATGTGGCAAGAAAAGTCCTAAAATCAGGCAAAACTCACCCATTTCTCACTTGGCCACATGCATTTGGGGCCCGTTTGCGGTCGTAAATTGAGGACTTCCCTATCACTGAATTAAGCCATCTTCTGTATTTGCATCAAACCACATCCACAAACTGGCAGCTGCTAAAAACTAAGATTGTCACGCACACACACACACACACACACACACACACAGGATTAAGCGAAGTAAAAACTGGATGGGATTAGCATAGTCTGATTTGATTAATATCCATGTTAGGTTAGAACACAAGCCATCATCCTGTGTCTCCATTGCAGTAGCTCCAAACAACCCCTGGCAAAATTTTTAGTTAGCTTGTTTCACCCTTTTAAGGTAACATCCCAGCAAAAGTTATCTTTTTTACTTCCTAAATGTATACAGAAAGGAAGTGTACAGGCTCAGCCTGTAAGAATCTGGAGCGAAGATGACAAAAGTTTCAAATAAGATTTAAAAGGTGAAATGTTTTTCTGGAACAAGCAGAAACAGGTGAAAAGATTTTTTTTTTTTTTGCATTCTTCAGAAACCTCCAGCGAATGAGATCCAAAAATAGTATTTTGCGAAGGTTGACCTGGCTTTGATTGAAATAAAAATTCTTGGCACACTTCTCAAACGTTCCTGATTTGAATATTTTTTTTAAAAAAACCTGCCTTTTTTTAAAAAAAAAACTTCTTTAAGTATCCAAGGTTTATTTGCAAAGAGCTGGAATTTAAAAGCGCAGCTTCTAAAAAGGCCTCAGTTTTGCTCGGGTCAAAGATGACTGACCACCGGTGTGTGTGGGAAAAATAAATCAATCAATCGCGTGACAAGATTAAAAAATAATTTGGAATTTGCGGGGGCAGCAATAAAAATGGGACTTTGATCCCAGTTTTTTTTGTTTTTTTTCACTTTTCTATTTTGTTTCAGTCCAGATTGGAATTAAGTCCTGGAATGAGCTGGCATTTTCATTCTTTCTCTCCCTTGCATAAATTGAGTTTTCGTCATTCCAGACTCAAAAACTTTCCTTGAAGTCTCTTTGGGGCATATACAGATAACAGATAATCAGAGCTGGAAGGGACCTTGTAGGTCATCTAGTCCAACCCCCTGCCCGAGCAGGAAACCCTACACCATTTCTGACAGAGGGCAGTCCAGTCTCTTCTTGAAAGCTTCCAGGGATGAAGCTCCCACAACTTCTGAAGGCAACTTCTGTTCCATGGGTTGATTGTTCTCCCTGTCAGAAAATTCCTCCTTATTTCCAGGTTGAATCTCTCCTGGATCACTTTCCATCCATTATTCCTTGTCCGGCCTTCAGGTGCCTTGGGGAATAGCTTGACCCCTTCCTCCTCTCTGTGGCAGCCCACCAAATATTGGAACACTGCTATCGTACAGGAAATCCTCACTTACAACAGTTCGTGTAAGTGACCGTTTCAATGTTACAATAGCGCTGAAAAAAAGTGACTTGCTATGACCATTTCTCACACACTTATATCCATTGCAGCATCCCCCATGAGCAAAATTCATTCATGACTCGTATTTATGACGGTTGCAGTGTCTCCGGTGGGGTGTGTGTGTGAGGCGATCCCATTTTGCGACCTTCTGACAACGCGGGAGCCAGTTCCACTTAACGACTGTGCTATTCACTAAAGAAAGGCAGTGATTCACTTAACAACGGTGGAAATAAAGGTCGTAAAAGGAGCATTAACCGATGTCTCACTTAACCACGGAAAATTTTGGGCTCAATGATGGTCGTAAGTCAAGGACCACCTGTGATCTGGCCCCTGAATAACTCCTCATAAAGACACGATGCCCATCAAAGCTACCTCCAAATGGGAGAGATATAAATGGCCCGTGAGCACAGCAGCAAATGGCAGAAGTTGGAATTTAGCTTGAATTTAGCTCCATTTCTCAAATCTGGAACCACTTGTCCTGGCCCAGAAAAAAAAAATGGCATTTTCTTTTCCAGCAATCCCTTTCATTCATCTTTTGAACTAAAACCATTCACTTCTCTTTAGCTGCCTAATCCTGGGAACCACTGGGAAATTGGAAAAGACCTTCGCAATGAATTAGTTCAGCTGGGAAACTCATAAGCTAAACTCAGAACCCAAAAGAGGAACAAGCAGGAAGGGATAATGGCCAAATCACTAAAAATGCAGCCTGACACAGTTCACAACTGCCGGGCAATTAATGCTCAAGTATTACATAAAATGGCTTTATTTATCCTGCCGATAAGATGCCAATCGAAAGGAAAGGGGGGAAAAAAAACAGGGGACATTATTCTGATCAATAAAATAATAAATGTCCTTCAGGTAGAAATCAGAACAGAAAGTTCTGATATATGGGAGATGCACTGAACTAAAATGCAGCCTAGAATAGGGAGAAAATAATAGGAATAAAATAAATAAATAGGAAAAAAAATCCATTGATTATAAGACAAGATAGACGTGATGACTAATGGCACCAAAAAAACCAAAGGCACGCACGTTTTTTACACACTCCCATCGGGGTTGTGTTTTTCTGCACACATTCCATTCACACATTTAAAGAGCCCCTCTTCAACTTACCTATTTCCCCGTCAAGCCCCTTTTCACATCCAAACCAGAGGAAGAAGAAGAAAAAAAAAAA